ACCATAGTGGAGTATGTAGATGGGTCTTCGGAGCTTATTTTAAATGTGGAGAGGCATGGCATTTTATTCAAGACTTCCCAATGATGACTGGAGAGCCTGCCTAGATAGAGAGATCTGTGGCAGCACCAGTGAGAGGAAGAGGTCGAGGAAGAAGAATGAATCAATCAGAGTCTACTGTTTAACCTGAAGTACGTTCTACTGGTTGGGTTTATAATTTGAAGACCAGTGAAGGTTGTGATGACCCAGAAATCATTGCAGGTACTTTTTAGATAACTGGTAAATCTGTCTTAGTATTGATTGATTCAGGCTCAAATTACTCTTATGTCAGTAGTAAATTGATTAAATAATTTAGCCTTCCATTAGAGCTTATTCGTAATGAGATGATTGTGACGAATTCATTATGAAATAGAGCTCGAGTGAGAAAGTCTGTAACGGGTGTCCCAAAAGGTTTTAGGGAATTGAATTCCCTGCTAATCTAATGGAATTACCCTTTGATGAATTTGAGGTTATTTTGGGGATGAACTGGCTTTATCATTATTATGCCAACTTAGACTACCAACGTAAGTGAGTGTAGTTAACGAGTCTTGAGGGATTGGAAGTTAGTGTGCTCAGCGAAAGAATACATTCCTTAGCTAATGTGATATCAGTAATATCGGCTTAGAAGTTGATGCTGTAAGGATGTCAAGCGTACATTGCTAATGTAATTGATGCAAGAGTTATAGGAAGTAAGCTTGAAGATATTTCAACAGTTCGAGAGTTTCCAGATATGTTTCTGGATGATTTGCCTGGGTTACCTCCAGATCTGGAGGTTGAATTTCAGATTGAAGTGATTTCTGGATTGGTACTAATTTCGATGGCTCCTTATAGGATGGCTCCGAATGAGTTGAAAGAGTTAAAGGATTAGTTTCAAGAGCTTTTAGATAAAGGGTTTATTAAGCCTAATGTGTTGCTCCAATGTTATTCGTAAAGAAGAAAAATGGTTCAATACGCCTCTGTATATATTATCGTCAGCTTAACAAGGTGACCATAAAGAACAAGTATCCTCTTCCGAGGATAGATGATTTATTTGATCAACTCAAGGGAGTGGCCATGTTTTCAAAGATAGATTTACGCTCGGGGAATCATCAGTTGAAAATTTAAGAAAAAGATGTTCCTAAAACGGCGTTTAGGACTCGATATAGTCATTATGAGTTTATTGTAATGTCATTTGGGTTTACTAATGCACCTGCATCGTTTATGGACTTGATGAATAGAGTTTTTCAACCATACCTTGATCAGTTTATGGTCGTCTTTATTGATGATATCTTAGTGTATTCTAAGTCGAAAGAAGATCATGATGTTCATCTTCGTGTAGTTCTTCAAACATTGCGAGATAAAAAGCTTTACGTGAAGTTCTCCAAATGTGAGTTTTGGTTATCGAAAGTGGCATTTTTGGGACATGTGGTTTCTGTTGAGGGTATTCGGGTAGATCCACAAAAAGTTAGAGCAGTGTTAGAATGGGAGATTCCAAAAAATGTGTTAGAAGTTCGAAGTTTATTGGGTCTCGAAGGTTAATATCGGAGATTTGTCAAGAACTTTTCAATGATATCTCTGCCTTTAACCAAATTGTTAAGGAAAGATGTACATTTTGAATGGAAACCTGATTTCCAGAGAGGCTTTGAAGCAATAAGAAAGTTTTGACAGAAGCTCTAGTTTTGGTACAATCGGAATCAAACAAGGATTTCACAATTTTCAATGACGCTTCCCATAATGGATTTGGATGTGTCCTAATGAAAGATAGGAAAATAGTTATTTATGCTTCGAGGCAGCTGAAGCCTCATGAAAAGAATTATCCGACGCATGATTTAGAGTTAGCAAATATGGTTTTTGCATTGAAAATTTGGCAATATTATTTGTATGGTGAGCGTTGCTACATCTTCACTGATCATAAGAGTTTGAAGTATTTGTTAACGCAGAAGGAGTTAAATTTGAGGCAGAGAAGTTGGATGAATTGCTGAAAGATTATGACAAGATCATTGATTATTATCCCGAAAAAGTAAATGTCGTAGCGGATGCTCTTAGTCGGAAGACTTTTACAGCTTTGCGTAGCTTGGACACTTGAGTAGTGTTAAAAGAGAATGGTGCATTGATGGCTGAGTTAAGATTGAAATCATTGTTGCAAGATCGGATCAAGGAGTTACAAAAGAAAGATGATAAGTGTCTAGCTTGGTTTGATCGAGTAGAGAAAGACAGACTTGAGGACTTTGTGGTTAAGTCGAATGGATGATTATATTTAAAAAATTGGGTGTATGTCCCTAATGATTGTGAGTTGAGACGAGATATTTTATATAAAGCACATTGTAGTCCTTTACCGATGCACCCAGGAGGAAACAAGATGTATCAAGATTTGAAAGAGAGTTATTGGTGGCCTGGCATGAAGAAGGATATTACGGAATTTGTAACAAAGTGCTTAAATTGTCAACAAGTAAAAGTTGGGCATCAGGTGCCTTCAGGTTTGTTGCAACCCATCTCAATTCCTCAGTGGAAATGGGAAAACATTACAATGGATTTTGTAATGGGTTTGCCTTTGTCTCCAGGGAAGAAGAATTCGATTTGGGTAATTGTAGATCGCCTTAGAAAGACTGCACATTTCATCCCTGTGCGGATGAATTTCTCTATGGAGAAACATACAGAATTGTATATCAAGGAGATAGCACGATTGCATGGGATTCCAATCTCGATAGTGTTTGATAGAGATCCCAGATTCACTTCGAGATTCTAGAAGTCTTTGCAATGAGCTTTGGGAACCGGATTGAATTTTAGCACGACGTTTCATCCTTAGACTGGTGGTCAATTAGAGCGAACAATTCAAATTCTGGAAGACATGTTGAGAGCATATGTGATTGATTTTGTTGGATCATGGGAAAGATATTTTTCGCTTATTGAATTTACCAATAATAACAACTACCAATCTAGCATCAAAATGGCACCGTATAAAGCGTTATATGAAAGAAAGTGTAGGACACCACTCAATTGCTATGAGTTAAAAGATCGGGAAGTGCATCGTCCAGATTTCATTAAAGAAGTGGAAGAAAAGGTTAGGTGATTCAACACAATTTTAAAGTTACCTTGGACAGACAAAAGTCATACGCCGATTTGAAAAGAAAAGAGATTAAATTTCAAATAGGTGATAAGGTGTTTTTGAAGGTGTCACATTGGAAGAAAGTGCTTCGCTTTGGGCGTAAAGGAAAGCCAAGTCTTAGGTTTATTGGATCTTATGAAATTCTGAAAAGGGTTGGACCTATAGCATATCAGTTAGAGTTGCCACCAGAGATGGAAAAGATTCACAATGTCTTTCATGTATCTATTCTTTGACGGTATCGATATGATCTTGCTCACATCATAACTCCAGATGAAATTAAAGTTCAATCCGATTTGTCTTATGAGGAAGAACCTGTTCAGATTTTAGCTTTTAAAACCAAGCAGTTGCATAATAAGACGATTCTGCTAGTTAAGTTTCTATGGAGAAATCATAAAGTAGAAGAAGCTACGTGGGAGCGTGAAGAGGATATGAGAAAGCAATATCCCTACCTTTTTGGGCAATGAAAATTCGAGGACGAATTTTCTTAAGGGGGAGATTTGTAACATCCCAATTATTGGGTAAGTGACCAAATTGTAAGAACTTCTAAACTCAGTGTTTGAATTAGAATAAATCTGTAAACTCAAGGATTTATGTGTAGAGTTTAATGGAAATTTTGGTTTAACGAAGAGGGTAAAATGGTCTTTTTCTAGAGGGATTTTATCCTCCTTTTAATGGAGATGTGCACGTGGGTTTGGGGTGAAAGCAAAGTAACTTATGGAACCATTTTCTTCTCTTTTCTTCTTCTACGTGTGACCCATTTATAAGGTAAGTTTTTCAATTATGTTGGTTTCTTTGAATTTTGGTTGGCTAGTGGAAGTTTGGATGTCATATAAGTTTAAGGAAAGCTTATATAGCATTAAAACAATAAGATGAATGTTTTAGAGATGGATTTGAAAAATGGATTTTTAGATGAATTGTTATTATAGTGTAGTTGTTGATATTATTTGAATTAGTGACATTGCAGATTTGTCACTTATAGGTTGTATTTTGTGACAATTTAATTCGTCATATATTTTAAGATATAAAATATAACGTTTTATTTGTGCCACGAATACGTTTAACATAACTATTTGTCACAGTCTCTTGTCGTTTACATAACAAATTTAAAAGACATCATTAGATTGTGTCACTTAATATTTGACACCATGAATTAACAAAAGAAAATTGTGGAAATTTAGTAACATCTAATTTAAAATCTTATTAGTGATAAATTTCAAATGTTTTTTTATTTTTAAAATTTATGTACTATATATATAAGATTTTTATATTATTACATATATGTATATGTATTTATATGTTCAAGATCTCTTTTATTGTTAAAAAATAATCTTTAGTTAATCATGTTAAAGACAAGTGCTAATAAGATAACTAATGTTGTGCCCCAAAATCGAGATTAAAATAATTAAATATGTTGTGCCCCAAAATCTAGTGGGGTGAGACACTAGATCTCATAAGTAAGGTCAAGGGTTTGAATTCTAACGATTACGAATGTGAGCAAAATGAGTTGGGAGGGTTGCTTTTACCTCTACAGTACTCGATCTGGATCGATCAATAGATCGAATACTAGTGATTATACCAATATCAAATGAAATAAAATAAAAAAGAGATAAAAATATGTTAATCCTTAAAATTGACACTATAAAAAAGAAAATAAGTTGCGAGTGAAAATAAAATAGTAATAATAACAATAACTAAATAAGATAAATAAAAAAAACATTAATGTAAGGACCAATATGTAAAAGAAAAAATTCACTGGGTTACAATAGCAAATAAATTTGACTGAACATGATAGAATTAAGACGAAAATAATAAAGTCGAGGTACTAAAATTAATATAATCCCAAAGGTTGCATAGCAGCGCGGGTCTGCATCCTCTTTTGCTCCTCTGTATTTCCTCATGTCAAACTAAGAAAAATAAAATTCTCTCAACATCCAACCCTAGCTGCTGATGCTTTTAAGCCCTCGTCGTTGTGCTACGGTGACTTTACTGGCGATACTTTGTATCAAAATGACCCACAATGCCTTCGCTTCTCTTCCATCCGAACGAATCTTCTGAAACATGAATAAGGACAAGCAAAACTAGATTGGAGCGTTAGTTTCTTCACTTGTTGGATACACGTTGTTCATCTTCGGATAGGATTGAAATCACGCACTGTTCCTCTTTTCGACTTAGGCTCCTTATCTACCATCTCAATTCACCGGCGAATGCTCCAACTGTCACCAACTTAAGAACCTGACAAGGTAAGCTTTTCCTATTCTCTCCCTTTTGACTCGTTTTCTCCCCATTTGCCCTTCTCAAACTTACTGTTTTCTTTGAATCTGGTGGTCTTGGATTTAACTCGATTGCGAGTTTTGGGTATGGTCAGGGTTATCGAATTCAAATCTTCTTGCTCTAGATTTTCTATATGGGGAAATTCGTGGTTGAAGCCCATGTTTGCTACAGAAGCTTCTGAAACTGATGATAACCAAATTGAAGTTTACGGTTCTAAAAATTGATGATGCCATTAATCCATCAGACTACTGAGGTATAATTTCCAAACTGTTTCACCTAGAAGATTACCCTGTTTCGATTGTGTTTTATAGTCGCCTTAAACTTTTTTTGTTTGCTCGAGAGAAACATGCTTTACTTATATATTTTTTAACTGTCGAGCCCTCTGTTGGTTGAAGTAGAATGATGAACTCATGTTATTGGAAATGATTATTTACATCTTTAGTTACCACGTACCTTCAATCATCAATGGATCAATTTTCATATTCCTCTTAAAAATGTTTTATATTATTTGTCTATAACATTATCTTTATGTAGAATGGTGATTTTTCAATTTTTTGGCGCTCGTTGTGCAGGATGTTGGGCTGGAAAACTTGGGTAATAAAAGCTTTATCAATTTTTTGTTGTAATGGTTTACTTACACGGTTCCATTTGTTTTGGGTCTTCAATCTTTGAATCATCATGAGAATCCTTGGGATTGTGTGTCTCATGTTTAATCTTTGTTCTTTTGTTTTCTTTTAGGGTTTCTCATTTTTTTTGAATTGCCAGGTGGTAATGAGGGTTTTTGTTTACTTTGTGCTCTTCGTCATCACATTGAACTTTCATTGAATTCATCAAGAGTTGTATCGCCTCAAAAGATTTTACAAATTGAATCGTATCCTTTATTTGTCTATTAGTAGCTTGATTAGTTTATAATTAATTGGTTGTTACATAATATGTGATAACCATTGAATGATTCTGATTTAGAATTGAATTTTTAGTAAATTTTGGTCACTTTATTTCTTTAGTCATTGAAATTTTAAGAGATTAACATATTTGTTATCAATGTGCTTGGAAAGGTGTATTTCAAGTATGGAGAGTGACTAGAAAAATACATAAATGAAGTGTGTTCATAATTGTGATTCTTGACTCTCATAGATCTAGGCATTGCATCATTTTTCAGACATCAACTAGAAGATGCTCATGAGATCCTGTAATGCATGTTACATAGGCTTGAAAGGTTTTGACTAAAGCCCAAAAATGGTTTGTCTTCTGTTGATGATTGGCTCGTTAAGAAGGTTTATCATGGTCGCCTGGTGAGTAGGGTATAAATTTTGCAACTTTATCATGGATCATTACCGTCATTTGTAAAAGATGTATGTTATTATTGTAATTTATGTGAATCTCTCCTTTAATGTAATTTATAAAAAGTTGTGGTCTCTATTATAATTTATAAAAGGTTTTATCCTTAATTTTAATTTATAAAATGTTTTGTCCTTAATTTTAATTTATGTAAAGTTTTGTCCTTTTACTAAAATATTGTCATTTAGTGTAATTTATAAAAGTTGTCCTTAAATGTGATTTATAAAAAGTTGTGTTGTATATTGTAATTACTAAAAAGTTTAGACATTTATTGTAATTTTAAGCTTTTTATTTATTATAAAAAATTATGACAATATTTTTTGTCACTAATACAATTATTATATTATTAGTGATGATATTAATAAATAGTGACAAAACTTTATATTATTTGATGACATAATTGTCACTGAATATAATTTTTAAGATGATGTAATACATTAACGTCACTATGTATTTAATAATATATGACGGAAATATATACATCGTCATATTTGACATTTAGTGACACACCTAGCGTGACGTTCGTCGTGATGTCAAATTTTACGTCGCAAAATATAAATAATGACAAATGTAAGTTTCAGTGACGATATTTCAGATGACATAAATAAACAAATTTGTTGTAGTGCCTTATGAATAGGAATTGATACCTCATGAGTTAAATAGGAGATATTGTAGAGGGATGTATCGATACCTGTTGATAGAGGTATTGATACCTCAAAGGTGGTATCGATACATGTAGGATGGTATCGATACCCTTAAAACTTTGAAGGTAATTTCGGTATCAGTACCTTGAGAAGGTATCGATACCCTAGAACATCGAACCTTATTTTGGTATCGATGCATGAAGAGGTATCGATACCCTTGAAGGGTGGTATCGGTACCCTTAGGGTGGTACCGATACCTCCAAGCATGAAATGAAATATAAAGTTTATTGCACATCAAGTTATTATGATTCGATATTAGTGAGTTAAGAACAATATTGATTTTAGATTGTTTTGTGTAGTGATTGAACGTAATTGAATTCCAGTCAGCTTGGCATTTCGAATATTGACTTGGAAGGATTTGAATTAGACTTTAGTGAGGCAACGATGAGTGCAACTTCTCTTTATTGTAATAGAGTTGAGGAAGGCTTCCGATAAGCCAACCTCCGTGTTTTCAATCGAAAACTTTATATTTTTTTATGTTATATTTCAATCTTTTATTCAATTGCTATTTTACAAATTTTGTTTTATGACTATGTTATGAAAATATGAACCTTGAACATGTGAATATGAGCTTTGAAAAAGTGAATGTGAATATACTCTATGACAGAGAAGCTATGTGAATAAGAAACACTTTGAATAAGGATTGAACCTAATTATGTGATTAAAAGCCCAATGTATTTGTATGAGGATTTGAGGTATAGTTGGCATGCCAAGAGTCGAGGGTCTATGTGGTTATTTGGGATAATTATGTGGTTCTCCGGGACAAATATGTGGCCCTTCAGTGCAAACTACGAGTTGTGGTGACAACATTAGTACACAACCTCATAGTACTCAAATACCTAGATTTCTCAGTAGTATACCTTGGGCAACTTGGAACAAAGACATACAAAGTATAATTATTCATAAGTATACCTTTGATATGAAAATTAAGAAAGTTCTTTGAAAAACAGTTTGAATAAAACAAATAAGATTTCTGTTAATAAGTTAGCACTATTAGTATTGCCTCACTAAGTCATTGACTTAGCGTGTGTTTTCTCACGAGTAGGTTCGAAGAAAGCTGAAGGTTGATATGAGTCGAGGATAATATACACTTCAGAAGATCAGATTAGAAAAAATTAAATGTAGGTTTTTGGTTCATTTTGTAAAAATTGTTGGCATGTATTATACGTTTATTTGAAATGCTCTGGTCAATTTTGTAAACGTATATATATTTTGTATGGTGTAAACTCTTACTTTTGGTTATTTATGTGAATTATTAAGATTTTATGTGAAATGATTTTCTATTAAGAATAATATTATTTTCTTTATCTTAATTTAAATAAAAAAAATTAAATTTATTCCTATTTGTGAATTTCTTATGTTTTGAAAAGTCAAATGTGACACCTCGGATTCGTACCCGGGTCGGGTATGGGTCAGGGGTGTTACACCAAGTAAGGAGTGTAGTAGTAACACAAGCTATCATCAATTATGGTTGACTTGTTAGTAACAATAAGACAATCCAATTTAAGTAGAACTTCATAACAGATTCCAATCAATGTTTTCGGTAAATAGAACAAATGTTATGTTTTAAGAAATCTTGAAACAAAAGTTTACAGGTTTTCAATTGAGGAAGTATTTTTAAAAGTTATGTGACATATGTATCATGTGTACAGAAAGGTATACGGGAGATGGGTGTTACATCTATGGTACCGATACCTACTTCGGTACCGATACCATTTTAGCATTATGGAAATCCCCTTTCAACTACAATATCGATACCGTCCTCATGGTATCGATACCTCCACATCAGTATCGATACTAATTCAATTAGTAATGATATTGTTCTTCGGTTCATACAAAATTCTTTAAATTTAACCTTATAGTATTAGTACTGTTCTTCCAATACCGATACCCTTACCCAGAATTCTTCTGTTTCATTTTAAAAATTTACCCATCTTCACTTAAATCTCCTACTTTATACCCTATTCATGCCTTTAAACTTACTTACACTTACCCTAACTAACTTATATACAATAATCTCCTTTAGACATCCAAATTTATCCATATAACTCTTAACACTAAAAGTCATATCACTTCTCCAAACATGTTCTTAATCCTTTTTGATACTTTTAATCCCTTAATTAAACCCTTGAAAAGTCAAATATTCCTTTAGAATTCAAATATTCATCATTTTCTAACAATTCCCTCAAAAACCCATGTTACTAAATCACCATTAATTTATCCATCTCTTAGTTTCAACTCATCTTTAATCTTTATTAAGCTTCTATATTACCCAAAGAACCAAAACCAAATAAAAAATGAAGGAATGAAACAACTTCAATTAACTTACCTTAATCATGGAAGCGTACGGTGGAAGAGTAGAAGAGAAGAGAAGAGTATCCAAAATTATCCTTTCCTTTTTCCTCATTTCCCATATGCTTAAATAACCTTACAAATGAATTTTTAAATTCCTTTCATGAAAAAAACCACTTTTCCCTTCCAACCTTCAATTTTTATTAATAAATCCTATATACAATTTTTTCAAATTAGTCCTTGAACTTTTCTATTTATCGAAATTAAACCACTACCTTTTAAATCCTTACACTTTAGTTACTAACCCGATATTTGGAGTACCTAAGGCTTTGTGCAAGGAATTACAGAATCTTGATGTAAACATTGGATATCTATCAGATACTATCGATACATGCACTCCATACAGTCAAACTATCTCTTTTATGTACAACTCAACATATTTATCCATCGAATAATCTGTCTGTACTGGAATGAAGTGAGTTGTCTTGGTTAATCTATCAACAATCACCCAAATGGAGTCTTTCATGTTGGGTGTCAATGGTAACCCTAAAATAAAATCCATAGTGACTCATTTCCACTTTCATTCAAGATTGGATATCGGTTGTAGCAATCCGAAAAGCACTTGATGTTCAACTTTCACCTATTGGCATATCATACACTATGCCACAATTTCTGTGATAGCTCTTTTCATACCAGACCACCTATATCGACTCTCTATGTCATATTACATCTTGATTTTGCCTGAATTCATAGTCAATGGAATTGTAATATGCCAAATTTTGTATAGTGACCAAGATGCAGGTTTTGAAAGTTTAGTGGCTAAAGTATGAAAGTGGGAAGAGTTCAGAGACCTAAATGGTAATTTTCCCAAAAATAATTTTTATATCATAAATAGATAGTTTACCTTTGAGATTGGAATTTTATTGATGTAATACCCCAAATTTTGGTTAGTGACAAAAATGTAACTTTTGAAAGTTTGATGGTCAAAGTATAAAACTTGGAAGAAATTTTAGGGAATTAAGTGATAATGTTCCTGAAAAGAATTTTATTCCATAAATAGATAGTTCACTCTTAAGAGTGGGGTTTTATGGAAATTATATTTTGGATTTGGAATTTTAATAAAGAAAAATTAGAAAGGGTTAAAACCGGTAAGGAATCGGTAAATTCAGATTGAATTGGAATTTTACAAAAAAATTGAAGGATGTTATAAAATGGTTGGAAATATTATTTTAATATTTTAGATCAGAAAAATTTGGTTTGGAAATGTGCAATTTTTTAGATTTAATCGAAACAGTGGAATTTAGTGACTAAAATGTAAGTTTTGAAATTTCATGGGAAATTTCGGAAATTAAAGTCAAAATAATTCAGCTTTGACTTTGAAATATGATAAGGATGAGTTTTCATGGTTTTATGGTGAATAGGAAGATTCATTAAGGGTGATTTGGTCATATCCCAATTAAATGAATATTATATTTATTTATAGTGGAATATAGTGTAAAATAAGATGAAATGCACCCAACATTTCACCCAAATTTTCTATCTTCTTGTCCAACTAGACGTGGGCTTCTTCAAAGGTAAGAGAAAGCTTCAACTCAATTTTCAAGTAATTTACTTACGATTTTGAGTAAGTTGTAAATGGAAAATTGTTATACGCGAAAACTTTATCTTTTGGTACAAATATTGCATGGTAATCTTGTTGGTGTTCAAAGATCCCATATTTACGGGTTTGTGTTCATATAAGGGATCACTAAATTGATGATGAATATGGATGTTTGTGAGGTAGTAGATTCATATTTAAGCATGTATGATGATTAGAACATGTTTAATCTTTCTAGAACTTGTTCTTTAAGTTTTGGTCATGGATTGTTTGAGTGAGAAAAATTATGGAAAAATTATATATGGGTTGGAAATGATGAAAGAAGTATTCTACAAGTCTTAGAAAAAATATTTTGAGGACCATTTCATAAATTTTGAAAAGTTAGAGATCAATTCGTAAATTTTGGAAATTTGAGGGGTGGTTGTATAAGTGTTATATAATTGATGTATTATGCTGGAAATTGTTGATTGGGAA